TTTCAATAATTTATTAACAATAAAATTTAGCAGTTCAGATGGTCGTTTTTCAGTTATACATAATCATTTTGAGGGGACATATTGAGTTCGCTCACCGACCCGTTCGTTTCGTCACACCACACGAAACACACACACGCACACGGACTACATTGCGTTGCGTATCATCGAGTTAATCGAGGCTGACGTCCATTTTCGCCGCTCAATAATCCGCCCCGCTGGCGCCCGCTGGCCACCTCTCGGCGCGCACGGGTAAAATTGAGCGGCCAGGCAGAGGCAGGACAGGCCCCGGGGCTCCGCGCAGGGCTCTGCGCGACGGGGTGGTGGCCCGGCCCGGCCCGCATTTGATGAGAGCTCAATATTGAGCCATAAAGAGGTTTACTGCCATCAGGCCAGACGGCGCTGGGCGGGCCGGGCCGGGCCGAGGGCGAGCGGTGGCTGGGTGGCTGGCTGTAGGCATGCGCGGGCTCATCGTGTGGTGACTTACGGTGCCGGCTAACCTGATACGAGAGCCTCTGGCGGAACGGGATTCCGTGCTTTTCTTCTTATTGACAAGGTACCCCCGATTAAGGCTTAAGCGGGCTTAAGCGTTGTTAGGTTAGGTTAGGTTTGTAGTGGTATAGATTGCCGGTATGCATCTGGTCGCTGGGTTGCCCAACACACGCACCGGTGAGCTTTAAGTGAAGGTGGGGCATGTTGGATTTTCAGTGACGACGCGCACTCCGAGAATGAACGATTCTTGGTTCATGAGTCAAATGCACTCAACCTAATTAAGACTGTTTTGCACTTGATTTCACAGCACTTTCCCTTGCAGTCAGATAGACGCTTGATTCGTGTTTCAAATGCACTTGGATCCATGTGCACTTGGTACGTTAACGATTTAAGTCAAGCGTATCTGTCTCACTGCTTATGGAATTGTTCTCAAATCATCTTCAAAATACTCCATACATTCGATATTGGTTGTATTTTACTCTTAAACAATCAATCCGCCTTCCTGGGTATGCGGGCGCGGGCTACACACACATGCCGCATGCCGCCGCATTGCCGTTTCCAACAGTGTCGTTACACTGCGATGGCAGCAATTTCTCTTCTCTCGATGCTCCTTCTCTCCCGGGCCTTCATCCTTCGGGACGCCCTCCCTGCTCCGCTGCTCCGCTTCCACTCCCCGCCGAGGACCCAATATCCCCCCGGGATTCCGTTGTTCGTCTCGCTACGCCGCGCACCTGGGCCGGTGTCCCCGAGCGTGCTCCGGGGCCGGGGCCCGCCCCCGCCCCGCCCGAGAGAGGCGGTGGCGGCGGCAGCGCTGCAAACGTGATCGACAGAGAGAGAGAGAGAGAGAGAGAGAGAGAGAGAGAGAGAGAAAGGGAGAGGTGGCGAGAGAGGGAGAGGGTCACAGATTATCGGTCAACCCCCTTCCCCCCACCCTCCGCTTCCTCGGAGGTCTTCTGGAGCCCGCAGAGCCCCGGCCCGGGCCCCGCAGTCTTTCCCCCTTTTTCTTTTGGCCCTTTAGGTGCTTACTCCCCTCCTCCCCCCTCCTAAAAAGTTTGGAGGTGACTGCATAATGTATCGCCACGGCACACCCGAACCTCGGGAGGGCGGCGGCGGTCTGGCGCGTCGAGGGGGGACACACTCTATCTCTCTCTCTCGCTCCTATCACACGCAATCCCCCTCTCTCTCCATCTCTTCTGTCACACTCTCTCCCAGGTCGTAGCGTTTACCTGCGCTACTGCGCCCGCCTCGTTCGAGCGACTGTTATGGTGCCATTTGCCTGCCCCGCAGCCTAAAGTCATTGTCACCAAATAAAATCTGAACGACAATCAAAGCTTTTCGGTAGCCCATGGGTGGGCTGCGGAGCCGTGGAGCCGTATGTCGCCGTGGTCGCAGTGACGATAGGCAAACCCGTCCACACGCCTGCACACGGACTATTATACCTTTTCACCAGGTGGCTGATTATCCCCACGCACTTGTGTACCGCACGCCTGCGTGTGCGTGCGAGCTTGCCTACTCGCTCGGCCCGAAATATGGCGCCGTTGTCAGGAGCGATGGGCAAGCTCGCCCTGTACAACTACAGAAAGTGCGCGGGGTTAATCAGCCACGTGGTACTTGCAATGGGCGTTTCGTAGAAGCAACAGCAGCGTGCCCGGTGCAAACTCGGGCGTCACACCGACAGGCAGCAGGTGGGGCGCGGCGCGCGCTCGCGCGATCCCCCGCGGGAAGGCTGCCAAGCCCGTGGCCTCGGAGTGCACCTGCGACCCGCGGCACGGCACGGGCGAGGCGCGTGCATTCCAACTCCAACTTTACTGGCGCACAGTAAATTCACTTACAGACTCCCCAAAGTGTCCGTCCAAAGCCCGCCCCGGCTCGCCTGCTGTTCGCTAGAGTGGTGGTGCTGCTGCTGGCTGCACTGCTGACGTTTCGTATTCCTTTCGCTCAGAGTCATGGAGTACCGCGTCCTGGAACTCGCTGTTCACATCTGCTGTACGCCCCTTTAAAAGCAAGAATTTGTATTCAAAGTGTGCTCCGAAAATGTAACAGTTGGACGAGATGCAACACGGCTTTTCTATGATAGCAACAAACTGTACCGGGTGTTTCATAAAAGACACAGGTGGGGGCGGGTTTGCCTACCCGCTCTGCCCGTAAGGCGCCATAGCCCCTTGGGTAGGCTAATCCGCCCGTATCTGTGTCTTTTACGAAACACCCGGTGGTACACCCAATAAATTGCGAGAGAAACTGTGTGCACGATTTTTCCAATGTACTCAATCTTTTGGGGGGGGGGCACTGCGCTCGATCGCGGAGAACAGTTTTCTGAGACCAAGAATAACAATGCAGCAAAAAAAAAAAATCGAGTACACTCTTTCCTCCTCTGTAAGAATCCGGTCCGCTGGGACTTTCTCACTCCCACTGTTGGAATTTCGAGAGTAGATGGGGACGAAGAACTCTTTTGTGCGGCGGTTCTCGTTTACACCTACCTTGGCGCGTGTCTGCAGTGTTGGCCCGCTGCCTCCGGATAGACAGCTCCGGATAGCGCCACTCGGCTCGGGTTGTTCCATCAGATTGGAGTAGCGAGCGCGCCAGGGGCCCCGCGCCCCGCTGCACCCGTGCCAGACAAGGCCCGACTCTCTTAAATGTTCGGCAAGAGACATTTTTTTGGCCGTTGCAGAATGCATTTATTAAACCTAAGAAATGCCTTTTTCTTTGGTTCAGCAGACGGTAGAAATTTGTCACTTAATAGCAGTTGTAATCATTGCATCATGCAATGGAAAAACGGCAACATGCATTTACACACGTGCTGAGGAGTTGCCTACCAGCTCGTTCTGCTCGTGAGTATTCGTCAGCAATTCATGCCCATTTGGCTGGGAACACTTCTTGGCTCACAGTGCCTCTGCCAGGAAACTGGAGCAGCACAATTACTTCGCTATCACACCGACCTCTGTTGACAGTACACGTTCCCACGTGGTTGATAGTCTATTCCGTAACCCTACGTGCCGCTCCACAGCCGAGCCCTGCCCGCCGCCGCTCCAAAACCAGAGCACACGCTGTCCGGAAGGCTGGGAGCCGAGCTAATATACTCAGGGCAAGCACGAGTGAGTAAGGCGGAGGACGGGGCGGGGACGGAGGAAGTTAAGGATGACACGTGGCGCTCTGCATCCACACACTCACACATTCTCTCTCTCTCTCTCTCTCTCTCTCTCTCTCTCTCTCTCTCTCTCTCTCTCTGTTTGTGTCTCTCTTGCTTTAGGCCGCCCAGGTCTCGTTATCGGCGGAGCGGAGTGCAGTGTGACGCCCGTGCAGTGGTCGGTATGGGCGGTCAAGGTCGCACAGGGGAGAGAGAGAGAGAGAAGGAGAGAGAGCAATAAAAAGAGGCGGTGCGCGAGGCGCGTTTGAGCGGAAGTAGGCATATAGGAAAGCGCAATCAAATGTCAGTAGCAGCAGCAGCTCGCACTGCACTCTACTAGCGCCCGCGGCCAGTGCGCTAGTGCAGAGAGCGCAGCGCAAGTCACCTGCAGCAGGTCCCCTGCAGGCTGCGGGAGGTAGTGGGCACCGAGCCGTAATGGACCATCAGTGGGGAACCAGCAGCAGGGGAAGCCCCGCCGGCCAACCAACCGCAGATGGGTATAAAACGTCGTTATTATTATTATTTCAATCAGTGCCACTCGCTCAACCGGACACACGGCGGTGCGGTGTGCAGGTAGCAGTAGCAGCTAGGGCCGCGCGGCCCGCACACTGTCGCTGCCGAGAATCAGCGCGAGTGAAAATTACGTGCGTTACTCGAGAGAACGAACGGGGAACGGGCGAGTAATTTGCATTTTAAATGCCCCCCCCCTTCCGTCTGTCCGCGACTTTAAACGCGCGCACTGTCGGAAGGAGGAGGCTATACGTAGGTTTCGTCGACTGTGTTGGCCACTTATTGCAGGCGTGTGACGAGCATGTACCATACATTTGCAAATCAGAGAGACGCGTTAGTGAGTAAGTGTGTGTGTGTGTGTGTGTCGGGCGGACGCTGACATGCGCCGCCACGCTGCTGACTGCATTCCTCCTCATTAAAAGCGACGTGCTTGCTCGGTCGGCCAATAACTGTCTGCGCCCGCCCGCCTCTGTCGCTCGCAGAAGAGGCGCGGGTGACACATTTAATGAGAATGGACAATCACTTTGTGTCCAGCCGAGTTGCGTTCTTATAAGCACCTAGCTTAATTTGGGCGCAACTTTGTATCAAGAGGTACGCTCTAACTTGTCAGAGACTATTTTCATCCGCTTGAGGATGTCCTAAAGAACGAACCGCCTCTCGCGCGCTCTGTTGTTGTGATGCTTTTTGATCCTTGCACAATTTTCGACAGGGGCTGGCTGCGCCACGGGCTAAAAGCTTCAACGTGCCTGCACCTGTGAATGTAAAATGTGTGGGAACTCCTGATTCCGTATGCAGGTTTCCCCCTGCCACAATGTAAATATAAGCTCACAGATGTTTATTGCCATTGTTTTGGCCGCAAACAAAAAATAAATCACAAAAAAAAGACGAGGGGTTCCCCTTTCATGAAAAAGGTGTGGAAGGAGTTGGGGAGTTGACGAGTCAGAGCAAGTGGGGCACGGGAGTTTGACGGAAAAAGACGAGCAAAAAACAAATAATAAGAATAAAATGCCAATTATTGCTTGCAGCTTAGGAGATGTTTGACATTGTAATGACAGTTTCAAACGTCTGCTGCTTTCAGTTTTCACGGCCATGGGCGCAGCGGACGACGCGCGCCGTCTGGGACCGGCCGGGTGCAAGGTGGCCGAGCAGTGCGGTTCGGACATGATGCCCCCCGCGAACGTGGCCGTCGGCCAGGGCGGTTGGGCGCTCTCGGACAACTTCCTCAAGTACCGCGACGCCATCCGGGACATGGAGGTCCGCCCTTCGGACATCTGGGTCCTGTCCTTCCCCAAGTGCGGTGAGTAGTATGTGGTGTGAGTGTGCACTGGAAACGCAAGTGTGTGAATGTCGCACACTTGTAGTTGTCTGCTCTCATTTTTGTTGGTGTGTAAATGCCCATTCGTACACTACTTATAGATGTGAGCTGTCACACGAAATTTACACAGTTGTGCCTCCATGTGTACTAATAGCGTTCGCACACCTTCAAGTGTTGGACATTCGCACACTTGGGTTTCCGGTGTGATGGGTGCCGCCAGGTGTGAGCCGGGGTCAGGGTTTGTTGACTTGCGACCACTTCCGGCTCCGCAGGTACGACGTGGACCCAGGAGATGGTGTGGCTGCTGGGCAACAAGTGCGACACGGAGACCGCGAGGAGCACGCCCCTCGCCTTCCGCTTCCCGTTCCTGGAGTAAGGTGCCCACCGTGCCTGCCGCACCTCTCGCCCGGCGGCTCGGGGCGCTGCATTTTGCATGCTTTAATTAGTGGGACCCCGAACACAAGCCACAAACACGCCCCGCCTCTCTTTTTGCATTTATTCCGCCTCTCTCGTGTCTCTCCTCCTCTCTCTCTCTCTCTCTCTCTCTCTCTCTCTCTCTCTCTCTCCCACACTTTCTCACTCTCTCGGTCCACCTTCCCGGTCTTTTAGTCTCCACGACCCCCTCCTCCGTACCCGGTCTTCCCTTTTTGCTCTGCTTTTATTAAATTCTCTTCTTGTGACGGCGGAGTGACCCGGGCAGTCAGGCGGGCGGCGCCAGCGACGCGCTGGGGGTCCGGGTGGGCTGGGCTGGTGCTGGTGGGCTGTGCTGGTGGGTCCCTCCTGGGGGGGTGGGTCTCCTGGTTGTCTGGGGACGGTGCGGGACGCGGTCATGGGAAATGGGGGGGGGGGGGTCGAGGTGGGCTCTGGAAATATTAGCAAACACCGCGAGCCAGCGCAGCAGGAGCGGAGGGGACGGCGGTGAGCCACCCGGCCTGGCCGCACATCAAACACGGGCGGGATGAACTCGGCCAGGCCAAACATGTCACAGTTTATTACGGGAAATATATATTTTTTCGGTTCCAAGGTTTCAAATGTTCTATTATACGATCCTTGAAATTTCGCGCTGTCGTTGTTAAAATCGCCCCCGCATATCGCCCGATATATATTTTTCCATTTTAAAATACGCGGGATACGTGGTTTTAGTGAATGTACAAATTTTTTAATATTTGGCCCACAGCTTCACACCTCTAGGCATTCCGGAGGGCGAGGACTTTGTCGACACCGTCGAGATCGTCGCTGGCCTCCCCCGTGACCAGCCCCGTTTCATCAAGAGCCACCTGCCCCTCGAGTTCCTTCCCAAAGACCTGCTCAAAGTAAACCCCAAGGTAAGAGAAATCGTCCAAAAAGTAGAAGTATTTGACTATTTATTGAAGCTCAGCGCCTGCGAAACTCGGGGTAGGCCACCCCGCAGTGCACGCACGCGCTGCATGCAAGATGTTGCCTACCTAGTAGGCGCTTTCACAGTTTGCGCAGGCTGAACTTGACAGTCTCGCAAGAGCGAAACACTGGCGTTCTTTGTGGATGATCCGTTAAAGCATAACATGAGAAGCGGGGCAAAATGAACGGTGATAAATCGCTGTCTCAGTAGCTGTACTGCGAAATGGCGTCATTGAAACGACACCTGCCCTGGTGCTACCCTTCCGATCGTGTCGTTGTGACTGCTAATTCTTCCGCCTCTCTGCGCGCAGCTCATCTACGTGGCCAGGGACCCTCGGGACGCGTTCGTGTCGTACTTCCACCACTACCGCATGATCAACTCGTACAACGGCGACATGGACGACTTCTTCGAGGCGCTGCTCGCCGACGAGGTGCTGTTCGCGCCCTTCTGGAGGCACGTGCTCGAGTTCTGGGCGCTCAGCGGCCGGGACAACTTCCTGTTCATCACCTTTGAGGAGATGAAGAAGGTGCGTCGTCTAGTGAACCGTAAACAACCGCTCCGCTGGATTGTGCTCCCATCGCCCCCACCCTTCTCCGGTTCCTTCCGCCTGACACAAAGCGAGCTCGCCTCGCACACCCCGGCCCCGGCCGCGCGCAGCCGCGCACATACGGTACGGACTGGAACAAAGCCCCCGGCTTCCCTCGGCTCGGCTCTGCCGCCCAGCCCGGGCCTCTGAGAGCCGGGCGGCAGCAATGGCCCAGCCTGCCCCCCCCC